GGTCGACAAGTAACGGGTTGGAATGCTCTTTTACCCAAATTCCCTTTGTAGTTGACTGTTCGCGTCGGGCCCTTCCGCGTCGTTGGTCACTTGGCCCTGCCCAGTACTGCCTACGGGCAGGTCGAGACGGGGTCGGAGACGGAACCACGTAGGGAGCCTCACCGAAAGTCCTGAATATCAAGGTTCTAGTCTGATGCCTTGGCAACTGCTGACATAAGTGCCTCTGTAAAAACGGGCCGTGGACATTTTTCGGGCGCGTTGCAATTGCGCTTTCTGAGGAATGTTTTGGGGTTGCTTGGGGCAGGTTGAGCCCAGATGGGTGCTACCCGAGCTACCGGGTGCGCCTTCCGGAGCTGCCCTTGGTGACTGCCCTAGGTAGCCTTTCCGGCGGGCCGTTACCCGAGACCCTGGCGCTAGGATTTTTAGTACAAACGCTGTCTGCTTTTCAACATCAGTCTTCGGCTTCGTCAAAGCAATTTTGACTGATCCATAAAACGCTCGACCTCCACGATCTCTGCAAGAACTGACGTCCGTACCAGGAGTAAACTTCGTTTAAGCTAAAAAGCTGCGCTGACGCCGACTTGCTAGACGTCGATCCAAGGGTAGAAGCAGAGAAGTGGACAAGCATCATTAAAAAGTCTACTCTCCGTAAATGAAAGCTCTGTTATAGAGCAATTAACTCATACATGGAGAAGGATGCTCACCGGTAAGATGCAACACCTTCAATTCTTTCTGCTCAAAGGTATTACAGCCGCCATTCAAAGACAGACTCAAATTGGTATACGCCTATGGTCAGACGGTAGGTTTCAATAGAATTTCCGCCAAGAAGTTTGTATAAGGATTTGCACTATACTACATATGTGGACTCGACAGCAGCACACCCATACACTACCGAAAGCAGATCTCTGTAAAATTTCCTGACACAGAGCTCGCGCGCCCTACAGATGCTATCTCTCCCAAGTCTGACTCGAAATGAGATCTGCGAGATCGAAGCTTGGCACAGCCGCAAAAGTCTGTTTTCTCTTCCGAACTGCTAACTTGCATTTGCTCTTCTTGGCCACGTGGTCGTTGAGGAGACACGGACACTCGCGTCGAGAAACCACCCAAGCGTTATCCTTCTCTTCTCGACGGAGAGGGAAGCATGAGAGGCAGTATCAACGACCCGAAGTCTCTGCTGAGACCCCCCAGTAGGCTATCTGCTCGTTCTTGCCGCCCAACGGATAGTCCAGCATCGTCGCCCCTGCTTCAAGTTGGGCTTGAAAGCTTTTGAGCTTGCACTCGGTAAAGACACGCTGCTCACGCCAACGGGCCAAGTGGTCCATGGAATCTTGACAGCGGATCTATATCCAATTCTGAAGGTAGATCTACCTAGAAGTCAGCTCTTAGGAGTGTCAGGAACCTAGCCCCTTGAGCGGAGAATATTATTAACGGTTTCGTGTAGAAAGATCCCCCGACTATGACCGAAAGGCGTATTGAAGCGAAAATATGACCTGCAAAGGTTTGGCGGTAGGCCTTGAGCAGGAATTGCCGTCTTGACTGTCATGTCGAAATCAGCCGAGCGAACATAGCCTTGTGGACGAAGATAGACCTTCTCTTTGCTTGGTCACAAGAAAGCTGGAGAGCATTCCTTGGTATGGAGATGCATGAAAAATTTGGAAAACGGTGGACAACGAAAAGCGATTAGAATTTCAACTAAAGCGGACGTAGAGATTTGGATACTGATGTGAACAGGACAGGGCTACCTCAAGGTCAACATGAGGTACGTGGACTGAATTTCTCAGCAGTAGCGAGAGATAGCGCTCTCGTCAGGGTCATAAACCATCATTCATTATTACATAATCCCTCCCCCTTTCAAAGCAACTAATGTCTCAAATAGTCAAGCATTTACAACAACAAAGCCCTTAAAGCCTTCATCCAAACTCTCCTTTAGCTCTTTTTGGTAAAGCGGAAGTCCACCCGCGTAGCACAATTGTTCCCTCGGCTTCCCCGGAATATTGGCCCCCATATACCAACTATTAGCCGATGGAAACAGCGTCTTGTCACTCAGCTCCGTGACCTTGCGTCTCCAATCCTCCTCCGCCTCCCTCGTCGCCTCAATGCTCTGAATACTTTCGTCCCTCATCTTCCGAATGGAGTCCACGATCCAATCACCCTGGACCTCGACACAGGTGGGCCCATTGCTGAAGGCCGTGGGACCCTGGGCGCCATAGAGAAAGAACATGTTAGGAAAGCCGTTGCAGGTAGTGCCGAGGTAGGACCACGTGCCCATGGCCCACTTTTCGGCCAAAGGCTTGCCGTTGATGTCCTTAAGGCCCATGTTCTTCATGCCGCCCGTGACGGAGTCGAAACCCGTCGCGAGAGCAATAAGGTCGACTTCGTGTAGTTTACCATCCGCGGTAACAAGGCCACGGGGACGGACTTCGATAACGGGGTTCTTGTTGACGTCGATGACGTGGACATTTGGTTTGTTGAATTGCTCGTAGAAGTCTTGCTCCAACGAGGGGCGCTTTGTCCCAAAGGCGTGAGGGGGTTCGAGAGGTGCGAGGATATCGGCGATGGCAGGGTCGGTAATGCGAGCGCGGGTTTTCTTTGCCCAGAAATCGTAGTGGTGGCGGTTTGCTTCTTTGTCGTAGAGCATGTCTTTATAGGTAGCGAGCCAGAGCTTGAAACCTCCTTCTTCCCAGAGCTGTTCGAAGAATTTTTCTCGTTCCTCGGAGCTATCGTCCAGGGTGTTTTTCTGTATGTAATCGAATGGGAAGCCGGCGAAGGTCGATTTGCGGTCGCGAAAAAATTGCTCGTAGTCGAATTTGCGATCCTCTTGTTCCTTCGAGGTGAGGCTTGCTTGTTGCATTGGCAGACAGAGATTGGGAGTGCGTTGGAAGACTGTCAGTTCTTTGGCTCTCTTCGCGCATTCTTGTGCTATCTGGATGCCGGTGGACCCAGTACCAATAACCGCAACTTTCTTGCCAGCAACATCTACATCTTCCTCGGGCCAGAAAGACGAGTGATGTATTGCGCCTTCAAAGGTGTCAAGGCCTGGCCAGTCCGGAAAATTTCGTTTGGCAGCAAACCCAGTAGCCAAGATCAGATACCTGCATCTTGCAGTCTTGCCATCTTCCGTCTTGACAGTCCATCCCGGTCTTTTCTCGTCCCACTCGGATGACACCACAGCGCTCTCGAAGACAACGTCCTTTTTGACTTGCAGCTGCTGTTCGACATGGTCAAAGTAACGTCTCAGCTCCTGCCAACCGGGGTATTTGCACGACCAAGACCAATTCTTCCATACCTTCTCAAGCGAGTATTCGTATACGGGAATAGGAGAATCGACACGGGCGCCAGGATAGCAATTCCAATGCCAGATGCCGCCGAGGTCTTTTCCAGCTTCGAAACATTTGACATTGAAGCCAAGCTCGTCACGAAGTCGGTGTAACAGGTAGACGCCTCCAAATCCAGCGCCAACGATGAGGATGTCTGTTTCAATATCTTGTGGCACACCACCTGATTGCGCACTCTGATCTTTTCTTGTTCGAAGGTGGTCTTTGCGGAGGGATATAGAGGAGCTGGTAGGCAAGGAGGATGCGTTGGCTGCCTGGACATTGAGGTGGGATGCAACAGCATGGTTTCTTGATGAGAAATGACTCAGGACTCAATCAGGTTGAGAATGAAGCAGGGACTTACAGGTTCTCGATGTCATCCATCCGAGGCTCCAGTCGAGCCATCGGCTCTGCGTTTTGCGCCATAGTGGTTAGATGGTAAAATGCAAGTATCTGAGAGTCCCCGCCTCAATATGATACAACAAGAGGGTCAACTTAACGCAGTACAGAAACTTGTGAGATCAAGAAGAATAGAGAACTGAGAGGCATTATATCGTATCTGAGGTATACATATTCTGATTGGGGATGCAAGTCCCTCGATTCCCCTCCTTTCGACGGCCCATCGGGTCGATTAGGGGCCAATGAATAGATACGAGTCGTGTCACGGTTCGATCGGTGACTTTATCTTACCCCACACTTTGGTGTCCCTCTCTGCAAGTCGACGGTTACATCACCCGACAGCTTGTTAGCGTGTATTACTTTGAAGATCAGCAATGCAGATACTAATAAAGGAAGGAAGCCGGGCCGTTCGTGCCCCGACCTCTACAAGTACAAGGCACAACTTGAATACCTTAGACCTTAAGGACAGTTCCCCCCCGCCGCCCCCCCCCCCGTCCATACTAAATGCGGTATAAACTCTCGATTGCCTTCTAAGTATGCTACAGGCACTCTACAGCGAAGAACACATTAAAGATTACCCAATTGACTTACATCCTCCTCCCTAGGCCAGCAGCTATGCTGTTATCAACAGCCGTCCTTCGCTCCTCTTCGGCAATAAACGCGGCATAATGACACTTACTCTGGCCATAGTCGTCGCTACCGTTGGAATAAAAAACCATGGGCGCAACCCATGACTGTTATGGCTTGGTTCTATGCTTCCGTTTAAATTTGCACTGCGATCTCTGTTCTGCGTTCGCTGGTTCGTTCTGCCGCGCTACCCTAGTAATAAGGCCTGGCTTCAGCGAGGAAAGAAGACACTGTGTCCAAAATTCCAGTCATGGTGTTGGTAAATACCTGGGTATGCAGTTACTGCTATAATGAGACCTATCATTAGATGTGGTAGTCTTAATGATATCTGTTGTGTCTAAAGAAGAAGGACTCTATGTACAAGAAGATAGCCTTTATATATCAATGTACTAGGCTGAATAAGTACTAGTGGTAGCGTGTGTTGAGTTACCGACACTGGCAAAAACCGAAAAAGATGAGGCTATTCGCCTGCTATCAAAACATTACTTCTTCAAATCCTTCTCCGCAATGCTCTCCATAACTGCAATTGTTCCCTTTGCTGTGGGCGTAGATCTGATCATGCTAGGTGTATTTCTAGTAGCAATGAGAGAAAGATGGACCCTCATGGCCAAATCCCTGGACAGCTACATCAAGAATGCACCGTCTATATACTCCATGCACCTATCCTTGGCCTGTAGCCTTCCGCTTCTCCGTATCACGAATGTAGCCGAGCGGAGAGGCGAGCCAAGAGGCGAGAAAATGAGCATGCTGGGAGGCGAAAAGTGGAGCGAGAAAATGAGTATGCTGGGAGGCGAAAGGTGGATCGAGATTGCTGAGCGAGAAAGTAGGCTCTCTGAGAGTCGATATGGTGCGCGGACGTGAAACCGCAGAGAGTTGGCTCGTGTTGATAGGGCTGCTATCTTGAATGACTTGGTTATCCTCAGGCTGTTGTTGCTGAATTGGCTGCATTGGCTGTTTCTGAGGCTGACGTGGAGGGCCGTCGCTTGGGGTTGGAGGGAGAATCGGAGTAGTATTCTCTGGTTGATAAGGCGGTTGCGGGGGGAGAGGAATAGTGTTCTCCGGTCGATAAGGCTGTTGTCCCTGTATTGATTGAACCGGTTATTGCTAAGGAGGGTAAGATTGAGACTGCTTTGATGGAGGACGTTCTTCGTCGTTCGGTGGCCATGGGTCGTTCGGTGGCCATGGGATATCTTCCTGAACCACATTTGCCAGTGCTTGGGCTATGGAAATCCCTCTCCCTTTTTGAACATAGACTCCGTTGGTCCGTAGGCAGTCTCGTAAGCCACAGATATTGTCTTTGGTAAGCTTTTTAAAGTCCTCTTTGGCGAATAGTTCAAATTCCTCAGCAAAGATGTCAGAGAGGGACTCCCATTTGTTCTGGTTGTACTCTTGTATTCTCCAATGAACGAGTTGATTGAGTCTCTCCTCGGTATCTGATGATTCAACTCCTTTAGATAGCATGTCCTTTAGTTGATGTAGAGTCATAGTGTCAGGCGGTTCGGCTGAAGATGAAGAATCAGGTTTCTTGTCCTTGGAGTCCATTTTGGGTGTGTGTGTTATGTGTTATGTGTTAATATGGTGTGAAGCTTAATGGTGTTTGGTGTTTTCTGGGTGTTTTCTCTGCTGGGTAGAAGTCGTAGGAATTGTAGAAATTGTAGTTCTATTCAATCGTATCATCAAGTGAGCGGAATCGATTGAGTAACCATAGAACCGTGTGAAGCTATCGCGGCGATATCGAGGCGGACTTCCTTCAAGAGTATGGCCTTGCTAATCTGTGTACTAGTATTGAAGTACACTGATCAGTGTTGGTAAATACCTGGGTATGCAGTTACTGCTATAATGAGACTTATCACTAGATATGGTAGTCTTAATGATGTCTGTTGTGTCTAAGGAAGAAGGACTCTATGTACAAGAAGATAGCCTTTATATACTAATGTACTAGGCCGAATGAGTACTAGAGGTAGCGAGTGTTGAGTTACCGACACAAGGCTCGTGAGGGCTAGATGTCAGCGTGTCTAGTTCCTTCTATGCATGCGTCCCTTCTACATCCTTCCATGCATATTCCATCATTGTTCCTTTCATGTAGCTAGCCATAGATAGCAGTGCTTTGTTCTCCATCAGCTACATAACGGCTGATGGCCCCACCACTGAATCTACACGCTTTCTACCATCACCACTGCTGTGCTACGCTGAGGCTAGAGAGCGGCTTCGTGCAAAGCAAGAACGAGTGCCTTTCCACGAAGAAGATGCCGAGCGGTTTAAGGAGACTGCGTACTTCGATCTCGGCTTGTATGACACTTTCTGGACGAGCTCCTTACCGTGAGATAAGCAGACGCTGAGCTAAGGTCATTTGAGGATCATGATCGACCAAAAGGGGAGGTGGAAGCCTTGGGAGGCTTACGCCCGCAGACTATAGTCATTTGCTGGGACCGCCGACTATTGGAATTTGATGTGTGGGAAGGAGAGATGGAGATGTTAGGGTGTACCATGAGCTACAATGAGGTGGTTGGGGTCATGGAGAAGGTAACGGGAAGGAAGATATTGGTGAAGGAAAGCAACAAGGAAGAGTTGAAGGAGATGATCAGGGAGGATGAAGGAGCGAGGTTCTACAACCAGGCGAGGCTGAGCATTGCTCAGGGTGATGCAAAAGTGGAACCGACTCTGAATAAGCTCGCCCCGGACGTGAAACCCTGGACAGTTGAGGAGTACCTGGAAAAGCATTGGAGCGGCGTGGAGATTGGAGAAGCTGTTGAGGCGAAGGGCAACATCCTCACGTAAGCGAAGAACGGGTGCCGCGGCCAAGCTAGTGATCTGGTGAACGTCTACCACGATTGATGCAAGTCGGTGAGTCAAGTCTGCAATTCGCCAAAAACTCTCCTAGCGGCATGTTGCGCATAGCGCGAGAAGTAGGAGTATAGCCATTATCCTGACGGTCAAGGGCGCAAAAGACCATCCGCTTCAACCTTACAAGCGTCAACCATCCGGTCCTTTCATTTACCAATGTCTGCACGTCTGACGTCTTCGCGTCATTCGTGTCATAGGGGCTTAGTATTCTGCCCCTTTGCAACGTAAAAGTAACAACAACCATGCCTCAGGCGCTCGCCTTTACGCTGTCATTGTCCTTATATTTTCTAAACCTCATTCCATTGTTTGCATCAGCAGCTGTTTTCCTGCCCTCCATCTCTCCAAACAACGACGTTTCTCTCGCCCTCTCTCCTACTGCCAAACTCAACACCAACCTCACCGCCATTCCACATGGTCAAATCCGTTGCGTCCTCCCCTACCCGCACCCCATAGACCCTGTCAGTCTCCGCACCTGCCAACCCACAATCGACCGCCTACTCAGTTATCCTTGGATCGACACTCCGCAAACATACCGTTTCTCGCAAGACCGAAAAGGACTCATCAAGATAACGAGCACGTTTTGTGCCATTAGTCTCGATCGAAAATACCATGCTGGAGAGATTACGATTTCGCTCAGGCAGATTTTGCAGAGCGTGATAAGAATTTTATCGCTTTGTAGTGCGTATGGGGAGGGCGGATGGCAGTATATGGATCCGCCTTGGACGGACTGGATCGTGATTATACAGGGCACTAGAGATATGGCGGTTGGAAGCAATGGCACCATCGGAGAATTGGAAGGGAACTTAGTGCATGTAGGCGAAGAGGAGTGACCTCGGGGCGGTCGTAGCACAAATCTTTCGACAGATCCATGGATTAAGTATGCCCTTAACAATGGCCAGATCCAAGCCGCCAGGATGGTGGTGCGGTGTCTGTGTTTGCCTCTCCACCTCACATCAATGTACCCGCGGTCTACGCTTGCTTCACCTCTTTCCTTCTTCGAAGGAAAAGTGTTTCCTAAAAAGGTCTGCCGGTAATCATTGCCATCACAAACTTCTCGCTCTCCTCTACATGCATTTCCACTGCATTGCGGCGCAAGCTTCCTCCAGCCCCTCAGGGCTAAACTTTGGGGCCGTCGAGGCATGGCCCTGAAACATTGTTGCTTGTAGCGGGATCATGCGTACATCCTTCTCTTGTTCAGAAAAACAGCCATCAAAAACATATGCCTAGATCAATCGAATTATATCGCAGTGGAGAAAATCCAAGTGTGCCAGCGACGTGCCAAGGTCTGCGTCTTGGGCTTTTGCGTCGAGGAACCATTTGGTCCATTACCATCACGGCGCTTTTGGTGGATCGAAAGACAGACACGCTGTGCAGCAAGGGAGGTTGAGCTTATCGAGTAGTATAATTCAGGCGAGGGATTGGGTTCATGGCATGTTTTGTCCTTGGTTTGAGGGTAGGTGGTGTGCGCGGGCGAACGAGGGTGGTTGCTTTTCCATCAAGCTTTCGTTGGAGCACAGTTTTTGCGTGAAGACAGACGGGAGGTGTGGAAAAATATCAGGGTATGGATGAAGGGGTTTGTCGAGTCTCAGACAGACGCCGAGTCTTAACGGTCGAGATGAGTGAGTCATGCATGAAGACTCTTGATGGGTTTATAAAGATTCAAATCTCCTCTCGCTCCTGACATTGTACTAAATGATAACTCGAGATGACTGCCTCGTCTACTCTCGACTCGTCGAACGCAATCGCACGTGTAGTTCCGCAACCACATGGTCGACAAGTGAATGTGCGCGAAGACATCGACAGCTTCCAATAATTGAGATTTGAAGAGTCATTTCGGCTTTACGAAATCACGTCTCCCTGATTGAACACTCAGCACAGTCCGCTGAGCTATTCGCTCAACTCCAAACTGGTTGGCAACACTATCGCTTTGGTAATTTTTGAACAATCACAGTGAAGACGACTGGTGTTCGACTGACAAGATGACGTTAAAGTGGCCGATGGCCGCATCCAAATGCTATCAAGTCGACCTTCTTACTCCTACATAGTACACACACTGGATCATTCCGACAACCAGTGCGGTGTTTGCGGGAGTACTTTGAACGCGATGTCTGTACGCGCATGCGCATCGTGCAATTTCGAGACCTGTGCACCTCGCGGGATGAAGGAAGCCAGTGGTGCCTACACTTCAAAGGAAACTGGGTGCTCATGAGCTTTGCGGCTTTGCATACCATGGTGATAGAAGTCACATATCAACCTCCTCCACTTCATCGATTTGGTGATTTTCATCCGTTAAGTAAGGGGATTGATTTAGCTTTCTCGAATACCAGGTGCGCTTCTTGAATGCAAGATAATGATCTCTTCACTATCCTCGCGTGCGAATGAGCAAACTCGAAGAACGGGCGTCGAAGCGCAACCGCCCGTGGTCTCAAGCAATGAACTCCCCTTGACTCCGATCTCTTCTTTGAGTTTCGACATTGAACTATACAACGAGCCATTTCCAATGCCCCAGATGGATTAGCATTCTACCAATTATCGTATCTATCTTCTACGACCGTCCCACACGAAGCACTTCCATCAGCTAGGTTACACCACAATTACCCCTCAACACAAGGAATTACAAATGTCACTGCACAAAAGACATTGGCCAAACGGTGTGGTGAGTGGACAAGGGGCTGCTCCGGACATCTACAGGCAGGACTGCAACACGGCGCTCAATCTCTTCATACGAGATGTAAGTCGATACGAAGAGCGTGACACGAAATGGCTCTCTATTGGTGTGCCAGCGTCTTGGATGGTCCCGGCCTATCAGAGGACTCCGAAGAGATACACTTTCAGTGAGTCGCGATAGCTGCCATGATAGTGCGGATCGCCACAGTGGGACTGGGGGTTAGTGGGTTTCATGACATCATGGCCCTGTTGGTACCCCTGTTGGTACCCATGTTGGTGATGGGTCGATGAGAGAGTCATACAGTCGACCTGGGCTATAACGATATATCGTTTCATGGAGACAGCATCGTTACAACCAAATTATCGTTAAGCCTAGATTTACACTAATTACTACTAAAATACGCCTAAATCGATATCTACTTTTACGCAGAAGCCTTATGAGCCTTAATCTCTCTCTCATATCGATTCAGACGTATAATTAGTATATTATCGTCGTCGTTTTATTATTTCTTATATAATTATAGATATTTCAGTAGCTTTAGAGTCTCTAAATTCTTAACACGAGATATCGAAATATCCTCTTTATTAGTCTTATAAGCTTATTCTTTATAACTATAGATAACTGCAATTAGATCTATAATATTCTTATCTTTATTAACTATATTCTTATTAATAGAATTTAGAAAACGAGCTATATATATTATCGATTTAATTTTTTTCTAAGAAGCTAAGATCTAGATTCGCTTATTTATTTAAGATAATATATTATTATAGATCTTAATATTCTATATAAGTTTCTTAGCTTAGTCTATAGCCCTTATAGCATATTCGATTATAAAATTATATTTGAAATTAAGAATTCGCGCTTTTATCTAGTAATTATATATTATAGTAAACGTTATATCTTTCTCTTAGACGACGATTCTCTATCGTATAGCTTATAGAATATTTATCGAGATAATTAGATCTCTATTTATATCGTATTTCGAGCATATATAGCTTAGTTATCTCTTTCTATAGTATACTTTTTAAATACGAATAATATCTTAATTTAGAGACTAATAAATAAATATTATACTAGTAGAAAGGAAAATAATAGTAATATTTTATAAATTAATGAGATATATCTTAAGTAGAAGATCTAGGTCTATTTTATAAGCTAAAAACTTATCGATAAGTAGAATAATCTTTCTACTCTCGATCTAGTTATCGAATTATAGTATATACTTTTTAAAGATTATCTTAGTTATTTATACTATTCTATTAAATCTCTAAATTATAACGAGATTCTTAACTTTTATATTAGCGTTATTAAAGAATCGTAATATCTTTATCTTTCTAATAAACTATAACTTTAACTTTCTACTTCCCGTTACATTATAATAGAAATTCGCTATAATTTAAGTCTTCTTATACTTATCGTTAATAGTCTACTTAGTTATTAGCGTATCGTTAAGACTTATTTTCTAGAAGAGATCTATCTTATTTATATTAAAGATATTCTTAAGCTTTATATCTTTTAGATTCTTATATAGCTCTATAAGCTCTTCTTCGATAATTACGCGATCTATCGCTCTAGATTTATTATAACGATAAAACTTTTTAATCTTATATCTAGTCTTAAATATATCTAGCTAATTAGTAGAAAAGTAAGACTATAATTTATCGTTATATTGAAAAAGCTTATTTTAAAATATTAAGACTCATCTGCAAATCTGAAAAATTAATTTCCGCACGATTTCCGTCGGGTCCGCACGATCAGCACGATTTAGTCTATTTAGTAGACTTTATCTATATCTAAATCCTTTCCGCCAGTTCTATCAATTTAGCAACTTTAAAAATTTTTAGTAACTTTAAAATTTTTACGTAATATACTCTAATATACTTTAAGTATTATTCTATATACATATAGCATTAATATATATTATTATTAATATACGTATTATTATACGCTATATTAGAGTATTACCTACGCGATTAATTTTATTAAATTATTTAATTCTATGGTCAAATTTAAGTTAATATTAATACTCGTTATTATAGAATCTTATCATCGTAACGTCGATTATTAGAACTTTTCTTTTTTTATACGTATTGCTATTAAACTAGTAGAACTAGCGGAAAAGATTAAGATAGTTATTAAACTAGCGGAATTTAGATAGATTCTAATCAGATTTGCTAATTCGGCGGATTTTGTGATTTCCGCGACATACGCGCGATCAGCAATTTCAAATTTTGCAGGAACTTTTCAGATTTGCAGATGCTAT